GTCACACAGCCAGGAAGAGGTGGAACCAGCACATGAACTGGTGTTCTCTGGCTTGAGTTCACCCCCACCCGCTGTGCTGTTCTGCCTTTTAAGCTAAAATGACCAGGGAAAGGCTTGCAAGCTGCAGATTTTAAATTTGCCACTAACAGCTGATGAGTGTGGCTACACTAGATGGCAATGGCCCCTCACCCCAATCCCATTTGTATAGTTATCTCAACCCTGAAGATATGGAAGAACCAAGGTCCACCCAGTAGTCCCCCCAAGCCCCAACCCAAATATCCAAGAGGTGCAAATAACAAAAAGCTTCAGCAACACTTGTTTTGGTTTGTTGGTGCTAGTTTGCTAGTTCTTCTCCCCCTCTTACTTCGGGTCTTAACATCTCTTTTGCCTTCTACCTTTAGTAAATCCTGCCCTGGTATTCCTTCTAGGGCTTCCTTTTTGTAAATTTAAATTTATTGGTGAAATGTAGGTATTCATAATGACCACATGTGGCACCAGTTTCTTTTTTAGGTGGCATCTCCGTCAATTTGACTGAGCCAAAACACAAGCGTTCTCTCTTCTCACTGCCTGTATTTTAGGTAGTCACAGCAGGCAGACTACAATATGCTTTCATCCGGAGGACTCTTTAGAGACCCTAACCTCTACTGGAGAAAAGAGGTTTATTTTTCACATTCAGTCTGGGTACACCAGCAAGTCCTAAGTCACATCTCTTCATAAGTGACAATTACCCTCTCTGTACGGCTGTTCCATTACCCTCTCTGTACGGGCTGCCTCTACCGTGCGACTTGTCCAAGTTTATCCTCTACCCTGTGGGGCAAGATTGGCAGTGCTTAAATTATTTCTCTGCTGCTCCCAGATACGCCAGGTCAGAATTAGCTAGTTGGCTCAGAATCCATTCGAGCCATAGAGCATGCAAACCCGCTGGCCCAATTTTGCATCTTTGGCTGAGAACTGAGAAGCAGCTAGGCTGAATCTACTTCACCACACTGTGTGACCTTAGGCTAATACCTTAACTGCTGCAGGCCAAAAGTGTTTTCATCTGCTCACTAAGGTAAGCATAGTTTTGGCTCTGTAGGACTGTTGTAAAGATTAACGGGATAATGTATTTAGCACAGTGATTGGTATGCCGTAACTAATCAATTAATATTAGCTATTATCATGACATAGGCCAGATGGTGCATGCCTGTAATTCCAACATCATTCTGGGAGGCGAAGGTAGGAGTAGCACAAGTTTGAGCCAGCCCTGGGCAATTTAGTGAGACCCAGTCTCAAAAGTCTTTCTCACAATATTTTAAAAGGGCTGAGG